TGTGGAGGGAGCTGAAGGTTCGAGTTGCCAAACGTCAGCCTCGTAACCTTAATGACTTGGAGAAGATCTGCAAAGAGGAGTGGGACAAAATCCCTCCTGAGATGTGTGCAAACCTGGTGGCCAACTACAAGAAACGTCTGACCTCTGTGATTGCCAACAAGGGTTTTGCCACCAAGTAATAAGTCATGTTTTGCAGAGGGGTCAAATACTTATTTCCCTCATAAAATGGAAATCAATTTATAACATTTTTGACATGCATTTTTCTGAATTTTTTTGATGTTATTCTGTCTCTCACTGTTCAAATAAACCTACCATTAAAATTATAGACTGATCATTTCTTTGTCAGTGTGCAAACGTACAAAATCAGCAAGGGATCAAATACTTTCTTCCCTCACTGTATACAGTTGAAGTCGGAAGTTTACATACACTTAGGTTGGAGTAATTAAAACTCATTTTTCAACCACTCCTGTCACGATCGTCGACAGATGAAGCGGACCAAGGCGCAGCGTGATAAGCGTACATTCTTTATTAGTGTACACACGAACCAAAACAATAAACCAAACGATACGTGAAGTCCTAGGTTATACACAAAACCCTACAGAACAAGATCCCACAAAATACTAGTGCCAAACAGGCTGCCTAAGTATTGTCCCCAATCAGAGACAACGAGCTACATCTGTCTCTGATTGGGAACCACCCTGGCCATCATAGATATAAACGATCTAGAACAAAAGCATAGAAAATGTAACAGAAACTCCACACCCTGGCTCAACATTTAAGAGTCCCCCGAGCCAGGGCGTGACAGTACCCCCCCCCCCCCAAAGGCGCGGACTGCGACCACGCCACACCAACACAACGGGGTAGGGGCCGGGTGGGCATTCCGCCTCGGAGGCGGATCCGGCTCCGGGCGTGACCACCACTCTCTCTCTACCCCCCCGTAGCGCCCATGGTCTGGTCCCGCTGGCCGGAGCTGGACTGGACACCGGTGGAGCGGATTGCTCTGGCTCCGGTGTGGAGCAGCTGACCGGTGCCGGATCAGGCACCGGTGGAACAGGCACGGACCGTGCCAGACTGACGACGCGCACCACTGGCTTGGTGCAGGGAGCAGGAACGGGCCGGACCGGGCTGACGACGCGCACCACTGGCTTGGTGCGAGGAGCAGGAACGGGCCGGACCAGGCTGGCGACGCGCACCACTGGCTTGGTGCGAGGCGCAGGATCGGGCCTGACCGGGCTGACGACGCGCACCATTGGCTTGGTGCGGGGAGCAGGAACAGGCCGGACCGGGCTGGCGACGCGCACCTCTGGCTTGGTGCGAGGGGCAGGAACAGGCCGGACCGGGCTGATGACGCGCACCACAGGCTTGGTGCGAGGGACAGGAACAGGCCGGACCGGGCTGGCGACGCGCACCACAAGCTTGGTGCGGGGAGCAGGAACAGGTCGGACCGGGCTGGCGATGCGCACCACAGGCTTGGTGCGGGGAGCAGGAACAGGCCGGACCGGGCTGGCGACGCGCACCACAGGCTTGGTGCGAGGGGCAGGAATAGGCCGGACCGGGCTGGCGACGCGCACCACAAGCTTGGTGCGGGGAGCAGGAACAGGCCGGACCGGGCTGATGACGCGCATCACTGGTTTGGTGCGAGGGACAGGAACAGGCCGGGCTGGACTGTGGAGACGGACTGGAGGTCTGGAGCGGAGAGCTGACACAACCCGTCCTGGCTGAATGCCTATTTCCACACAATCTGTGTGAGGCATCAGCACAGGACGTACAGGGCTGTGCACTCGTACTGGCACTACATCACGTGGCACTGGCGCAGCATATCCGGGACCGAGGAGGGGTACTGGAGGCCACGAGCGTTGAGCCGGCACACTCCGTCCTGGCTGCATGCCCACCTTAGCACGACACGTGCGTGGTGCTAGCACAGGACGTACAGTACTGTGCCGGAACACTCGCGGCACAGTACGTGGCTCCGCATAACACGGAACCTGCCCAGTCTCACGCTGCCTAGCCTGAGTACGGGGAGTTGGCACTGCTCTACCTCTAGGCTCTGCCAACCACCCTTCCAGCTCCCCAAACCTGGTGGCCTCCTCTCCTAGTCCGCCGATTCGTCCTGTAGCTGCCTCCAGCAGCCCCGTCGTCCACGCCGTGTGCCCCCCCAAAAAAATTACTTGGGGTTGCCTCTCGCGTGTCCGTCGTCGGCACGGTTGGCGCCATTTCTTCTCTCCTGCCTGGGCATTTACTTTTGCCCATGACCCTCTGCCCGCGAATATGTCCTCCCAAGACCACCATTCGACCACCTGGGACATCGCCAACTTCTCCTCCTGGGCACGCTGCTTGGTCATCTCTTGGTGGGATCTTCTGTCACGATCGTCGACAGATGAAGCGGACCAAGGCACAGCGTGATAAGCGTACATTCTTTATTAGTGTACACATGAACCAAAACAATAAACCAAACGATACGTGAAGTCCTAGGTTATACACAAAACCCTACGGAACAAGATCCCACAAAATACTAGTGCCAAACAGGCTGCCTAAGTATTGTCCCCAATCAGAGACAACGAGCTACAGCTGTCTCTGATTGGGAACCACCCTGGCCAACATAGATTTAAACGATCTAGAACAAAGCATAGAAATGTAACAGAAACTCCACACCCTGGCTCAACATTTAAGAGTCCCCCGAGCCAGGGCGTGACAACTCCACACATTTCTTGTTGATAAACTATAGTTTTTGCAAGTCGGTTAGGACATCTACTTTGTGCATGAGACAGGTAATTTTTCCAGCAAATGTTTACAGACACATTATTTCACTTATAATTCACTGTATCACAATTCCAGTGGGTCAGACGTTTACATACACTAAGTTGACTGTGCCTTTAAACAGCTTGGAAAATTCCATAAAATAATGTAATGGCTTTAGAAGCTTCTGAGAGGCAAATTGACATCATTTGAGTCAATTGGAGGTGTACCTGTGGATGTATTTCAAGGCCTACCTTCAAACTCAGTGCCTCTTTGCTTGACATCATGGGAAAATCAAAAGAAATCAGCCAATACCTCAGAAAAAAATTGTAGACCTCCACAAGTCGGGTTCATCCTTGGGAGCAATTTCCAAAAGCCTGAAGGTACCACGTTCATCTGTACAAACAACAGTACGCAAGTATAAACACCATGGGACCATGCAGCCGTCATACCGCTCAGGAAGGAGACGCATTCTGTCTTCTAGAGATGAACGTACTTTGGTGCGAAAAGTGCAAATCAATCCCAGATCAACAGCAAAGGACCTTGTGAAGATGCTGGAGGAAACAGGTACAAATTATCTATATCCACAGTAAAAGAAGTCCTATATCGACACAACCTGAAAGGCCGCTCAGCAAAGAAGAAGAAACTGCTCCAAAACCGCCATTAAAAAAAGCCAGACTACGGTTTGCAACTGCACATTGGGACAAAGATCATACTTTTTGGAGAAATGTCCTCTGGTCTGATGAAACAAAAATAGAACTGTTTGGCCATAATGACCATTGTTATGTTTGGAGGAAAAATGGGGTCTCTTGCAAGCCGAAGAACACCATCCCAACCGTGAAGTACGGGGGTGGCAGCATCATGCTGTGGGGGTGCTTTGCTGCAGGAGGGGCTGGTGCACTTCACAAAATAGATGGCATCATGAGGAAGTAAAATTATGTGGATATATTGAAGCAACATCTCAAGACATCAGTCAGAAAGTTAAAGATTGGTCGCAAATGGGTCTTCCAAATGGACAATGACCCCAAGCATACTTCCAAAGTTGTGGCAAAATGGCTTAAGGACAACAAAGTCAAGGAATTGGAGTGGCCATCACAAAGCCCAGACCTCAATCCTATAGAAAATGTGTGGGCAGAACTGAAAAAGCGGGTGCGAGCAAGGAGGCCTACAAACCTGACTCAGTTACACCAGCTCTGTCAGGAGGAATGGGCCAAAATTCACCCAACTTATTGTGGGAAGCTTGTGGAAGGCTACTCGAAATGTTTGACCCAAGTTAAACAATTTAAAGGCAATGCTACCAAATACTAATTGAGTGTACATAAACTTCTGACCCACTGGGAATGTGATGAAATAAATAAAAGCTGAAATAAATAATTCTCTCTACTATTATTGGGACATTTCACATTCTTAAAATAAAGTGGTGATCCTAACTGACCTAAGACAGGGCATTTTTACTGTGATTAAATGTCAGGAATTGTGAAAAACTGAGTTTAAATGTATTTGGCTAAGGGGTATGTAAACTTCCGACTTCAACTGTATATTTTTTTGGAGGGGCAGAAATGCCTTCCGGAACATGTGAACTTTCTTGTGCCTTAATAACAAACTTGTATGCCATCTTTAATGTGAATAAAATTGTTACATTATGAGCCTAGTTGGTTTGGGCATGAAAAAATACAGGAACCTTCCCGATAGCCATGATTGGCTGAGATAATGGATGGGCTGGACATGCCGAGAGATGAGTTCGGATTGGTCTGCCATGTAGCAGGCTTCTGTCTATAACATAGGCTGCTCAGTATGGGTGGATAATCCTTTCTACCGCTGCTTTTTTTTAAAGATATTACGAAGAACTGAAAAATGTTGCTACTTCTCTCAACACTGCTGCCCTAAATTTAATAGCGCTATCCACAAAGCTCAGTGGGAAAAATTGCTTTCTGGAGGATGATCGTGCCATGCTGACTCTGAAAATGAATCAAACAATGAGGAAATCCCTGATTTAGGTAAAAACATGTTCATTGAACCAGACATTGTAGAGTCTTCTGATGAAAATGGTAGGGAAGAAACGGTGTCTTTGTCGCGGAAGAAGTTGACCGAGTTTAGAAATCAGTGGAATGCCCAGTATAAGCAGTGAGATGATTGCCAAATGCGGAGAGAGTCCAAAAAGAGAACGCAGAAAGAAGGCTGTTGTATAAAACACCTGTTTCCGGATTACATCTTCAAACTAAGGGCAACCATGGCATCCATGACAGAGGGAGAAGTGTTCATCCATGTATACAGGTAAGAGTCAAGCTGCATTTTCAGATATTATACGTTAATAATTTTGTCAAAAAGTCATTTTGTTTGCAAGTTCAATTTACGGTTAGGATGACGTTCAAACAGTATTGAAGTCGGTCTGAGATTTCCGAGTTCCCAGTTGTTTTGAATGCGGCATTAAAGTTGGGATTATGGTTAATTGTTTAGCTAGCTATCTAGCTAACGTTACATGTCTAAACAAAATACACTATGCAAGTAACCATTTCACTGTACCGTGTACACCTTCTGTATCCTGTGCATGTGACAAATAAACTTAGATTTTCTTTGATATAATGTGTGTTTACCACAGACGGTAATGTGAAGAACAACATCACCTGCATCAAAGTCAGATTAGGATATACTGTAGGCCAAGGACTAGATAAAGTGTATTTTTACTACTACTTTTTGCTACTACTTTCACCACTTTAAGTCTTGAAATCTTTGGTTGTTTACTACACTGTGAATCCTTAAAGAGACGGGTGGGGCTAAGGCTTAAGAGGGTGTGAACGATGCTGAATGGGTGTAGACAAAGAAGCGCTCTCCACTACGTGTACCAAAACTTTTATCCAATGTAAAAAACAACATTTCAAATGTTGCTACACAGGACCGAATCTAGGTGGCAAATGCCTTTGTTGGTAACTGAATGGGACTGGCTAGCATATCGTTTAAGGACAGAAGCCAACAAAGTGAATGGGCTGGGGGGCTAAAGAAGGTGTGAAAGGTCTTAGGAAGGCAGTTCTTTCACAGTATGAGAGAGAGTGTATGGAATATTGAGTAGAAATGGCACCTCAAGCGCTCTCGTACAAAACAATACATTGAGTGTCTAAGCACAACCAAAAACCCCTTCCTCGTCTTAAGGTACTCTCTGTAAACCAGCCCATTGACTTCGACAGATCATTCTTGTCAATAGTAGCCCTTTGCAGGGGAATTTTGTAGACATGTCTTTGTATTGTTTTTTGAGAATCTGATGAGAAGAGAATGACGTGGTTGTGTCATTACTGTTGTAGTCTTGATTTTATACCTTTCAGTGTTCCTTGCTGGTTTCTGTCCCGCAATCTTGTTGTTCTCCATAACCGCAAGGTGTGTCCGCTCCCTCATGCTGGTGTACCCAAAATGCCCCCACTTTAGGGTATTTTTCAGCAGGGCATTGTGGAATGACTCCAGATAACCTGAGTTTTACAGTAAGAAAAAGTAAAAAGAGAAGCGTGGTAGACTAAATTGATTACATGGTCTGGAAGGTATTCTGTGGTCCTTAGTCTACCTCTAATCACCTGTAACCCCATAACACCAACCATGCAATCACTACCCAATTGATGTTTATACCATGCTTACTGTAAATTGAGCTATCTTAGCCGTCAGCTTGTAAATATTTTGGCCAAATTACCTTCACCTTGTGCAGAGATAGGGCTTGGAAGCTCATGTTGGTGGAATCAGATTCTGTACCATCTAAAACAAAATACACAACTAAACACAATTTAACTGCTCCACTAATTGTATTGATCTCTATTAGACTGGCTAGCTAAACATACGTAACATGGACATTTCAATATTGTCAGCTTGCTGTTAGCTAACTAGCGTCACTAAAATGGCAGCAAGATTGCTATCCAACTGAGACTGGCTGAGAACCAACTAACCAACCATAGACGATTTATACACATTTATCATTGCTACCAACACACTAACAGAGAGTGAGTTAGTTGTATCAACAAGTATATTTTTAGTAACGGAGTGTAACATTACCTAGCATACATTAGCTAATGTCAGTCAAAGATAGAACGAACAAACAAACATGTTGACTCTGCTGAAGATAGCTACCAGTCTAGCAGTTACTACCATGGCATAGGTCGAAAACGATTGACAGTGTGTATACCAAAAGATAGCTATATAATTTTGCTGAAGGCTTTCAGAGTTCAATACCTGTCTGTAATGTGAACTAGCTAGCTAATTTACCCAGCTAGTCCAGCAGTATCAGCATTCGCTATGAATGCAGGACTTCTTGGTTCACTATGAGCAGACGAATACACAGGGAGTTGAAACTTCCTGATTCTACCAGTCAATTGAAAATGTGCTAGTTCTAGCTTGTGGTTTGGATAATTGTGATGTTTATGATAAAAATGTAATGTTGTTAATATAGTTATGACTATATGCTATGGCAGAGCCAGGGTGAAATTCTCCTTTAATAGTAGCTGAGCTTTCGGTCCGTCAACCTTCAATAGAGCCCTACACAGGAAAGACTAGGAGGGAAAGAGTGTCTCCTTCAACTGCAAAGTTTTCAGCCAGTGTAGGGCTAAAATCTTCTACTGGTACCAGAAAAGATAGGTGACAGAGACAATGGAAGGAATTGGGAGCCGTTTCTTACACCTACCTAGTTGTCTCTGATTTGCAAGGAGGAATAACAGAGCGCCATCTTATTGGAATGAAATGCAGTTCAGGACTTTCTTGTTTCAAAGCTGGTTTGAAAAGTGCTTTTACAAAAAGTAGAAACCTAATATTCCACAAATAACTTTGTAATTTCAATAAAAGGTATTTGAATCAACATTTTAGCTTTTAATAATAAACAAATGTCTTTACAGGGTTACATGTTAGTTTTTAGGGCACAATGCTTCAGAAGTAGCTAGAATTCATACATGCCCCAAAATCTTCTTTTCTGGTGCTCCTAATTTTTGTGTTGTGCCCCTAACTTTTTAAAGTTGGGAGCACCAGTGCTACCAATGAAAACAGTTAATTTAGAGCGCTGGCTGTAGGCTTCATGTTCCATCTCATTCTTTGTGTGTGTGTGTGTGTGTGTGTGTGTGCGTATGCATGGTGTGTGTGTACTTTTACCGCTGTAAATGGAATTAAGGGATGATTGTTCTGTTGATAACCATGGGAATTATACTTGGAGAAAATCTATTATGGAGAAGAATGTGAAATTCTGTTAAGTGGTCAACCTTTGCAGATGCCCATAGGGGGCACAGGATTAGATCTGTGAAAACCTTCTTCTTTTTTTAAGCTCAAGAGGTAAACTTAGATATGCAGAAAAATATACATATTTTGGATTGAGCATTAAAAATGCAAGATTCTCCAACTTAAAGTGTTCATATCCGCCTCACGAATCCCCCCTACCCCCCTCCCAGGCTATCCTCACAGACTACTTTTTGACAAGGGAATTTTCACTGTGTAGGCTTGTATTTGGCTCTGGCACAAGACTTTATGTGACAGGTAAGAGATCCATTCTTTTTCATTAGGTAAACAAAGCAGTAGTCCTTAATAATTAATATGTAATCTATACCTCTAATCACTTTCCAAAATATTTGAGAAAACATCCTGCAATATTGCTCCGCAAATATGCAGTATTCATGATCCATGTTAGAAATAAATAAAAAATATGAATTTGAAAGTTTGTTATTAGTCTGTACAATAGATTATTCTGATTTTCAAAGAAGTCATATGCACAATTTGCAGTACATTGCATGTCAGTTAAATGTGTGATATAAATGTAAAGTAATTTGACATAGGGCAAAAATATTAAACTGTTTACTGAGCTAAGAGTCTTTTTTAAAAATTATATTGAAAGTTATAATTTACATTCAAATAAGATATTCCGTAAAGGATCATTGTTATGGGGAAAAAATGTGTTGGTGCATGTAGTTTATTGATGTATGTAATTAATTGTTTACTTGAATGTAGACAGTAAAACTGGATATAAAACAAATGGTGTGGGGCACTGCAATTCATTTTGACAACATATGACATCTGAAGTCTGAAAACTTGTGTGTGATGTCCCTTTCAAGAAAACTGTAAATTGTTTTGTTTCTCTTGAAATTCAGACTACAATGACGTACTTGAACCCAAAGTGACGGTCTACCCAGCGTCCAACCCTGATTCGAATGGGAAGACCACCCTGCTATGTCTGGCTAGAGACATGTTTCCAGACTTGGTCAAGATCTCATGGAAGATGGAGGATGCAAATGGCCGAACAGTGGAGGTGCCCAAAGCAGAGAGGGAAGTGCTGGAGCAGAGGGAGGAAGGACAGACGACCAGTATGATCATCATTGATAAAGAGAAGGCGTACAGGAACAAATACATCTGTTCTGTGGAATATAAAGGGGGCCCTAAAGATGTTGAGATACCAAAAGGTAAAGCCAGTCATTGAAATAGTTTTACATGAGTATGTATTATGTTTTTTCATACATCATTATTCATTTAATAATTATTATGTAATATATTTAAGAGTAGGTTATCATGTATTCAACCATGTAAAAATGACATAGGCCTATTACCTTTTCAAAGTAAAAAGAAAGTACATCAACATTTGACTCACATTTGGTAATTGCATAGGAATGTTGCAAGTTTAAACAAAACACTTTTTTTTTTTTTACAACTATCCCTGACAGTAGCCTACATAATGCTCTGAAAGCATATTCTTTAATATTATCTTTTTCCATCTCATTCTCAAATGAACCAACTGAAGCTCTTCCAACCACCGGTCCATTCAGAAATTAAAATGGTCATTTAGCAGACGCTCTTATCCAGAGCGACTTACAGGAGTAATTAGGGTTAAGTGCCTTGCTCAAGGGCACATCGACAGGTTTTTCACCTAGTCGGCTCGGGGATTAGAACCAGCGACCTTTCGGTTACTGGTACAACGCTCTTAACCACTAAGCTACCTGCCGGAGGCACTGATTCTGCAGTTTACCGAAGGTAAAATATATGAGTATTTCATGCAGGGTTAGGGTCAATTCAAACAACAATTTAATAAGGGAAAGAAATGAAAGTTAGTGGTTTGTTAAATGAATCAATTTAGACAGGTATTAAATCCGATTGCGCTTTGTCGCCATTGCACCTTTCTGAGAACGCATTCACGGTGAACGCTGCTCAATTGGAAATGACCTTCAAGGGCGCTTTTACATATCCTCTTATGACACGGCTCCAGGAGCGTTTAGTAGCCTACCCTGATCCGCGTTACAAAGCATGTGTGAAACGCAAACTAACCCGGGATGAAACGAATCCTGGACCGGCGTGAGTGGCGGGTCCAAGATCCAGGACCAGAGTACCAGGAATTGTGATGTGGCAGCGCGAGTCGCATGGAACTTTTTTGCCTGTTGCACTCGCCAAGGTCATGTAAAATGTTCTTATTGCTAAAACGCCCTAAGTGGAGTATAGCCGACAAAATGCGATCGGATAGATCATCTGATCATAGTTTATAGGCAAAGTGCACTTTAAAGGCACATTTCCTATGTTTGCCGAGATACCATCCACGGTAAATGTTGCATTTGTCGGCTTAATAGGAAAATGTATTTTTCAAAACCACAATGCCTGTAACCAGCAATCAGATTGAATCCTTACTCTTTCTCTTCCCCAGATTTCTTTCAGTCAACTTTTAGTCTGAACCTGGCCTCTCTGGTTTACACAGTGATGATCGTGAAGAGCATGGTGTACTGCTGTGGGATCTCTGTCCTGCTGCACCACAGGAGCTTGGGAAGAGGATCCAGCACCTGTATACACATTAATTGAAAGGAGACCCCCCCACCCCAGTATGGATAGAGTTATAGATAGAGTTGTAGTGGGCTGGGAATGACAAGTATTTTACATCCCATTGAGGTCTAACATTTCATTTGTACAGGTTTTTTAGATGCTACAATATTGTGAGCCATACATTTCCATGTCTTCCAATAGCTTCAACTGCCAAATATTACATCAATTGCAGCACATTTAATTTTGTATATGGTGTATTGTTTCCCTCCTTATGTGGGTGCTACCCACTGCAGACACATGAATAAAGGTTAAGTTAAGGTTCTCTAAAAAATAAGCATAGCAAATCTTGAAGGTAGGGACATTTTTGATTTAAATTTAGACTTTTTTTATTAAAATTGCCCTGCAATATGTCATAGTGGTAGGCCTAAATTATTTTCACAAAATCTGTATTTAATTTATACAAAAATATTTACCTAAATATTATATTTACCTAAATATGTCATTATTAAATATGTAGGCCCATGAGTTCTAAATATGTACCATTATCCAATATAATATTTAGTAACTTGTCTTGTATTGAAGTGTAATTTTTCTCAAGAAATAAGAGTTTGTTTTCTAATGTAGCTTTTATTTTTGCTTTAAATAACTAAATTCTGAGTGTTTATTGAGCAGACAAATTGGTCTATGCGTAAAATCATTTTCTTGTGCTTTTTTACATTAATACAATGTTTTTTTAAACACATTTTTTTACATTGATACAGCTTGTATGAAGAGTGACATTTTCCTTGAGTAACACAGCCTGCTCAAATTAACCAAGTTGCTCAAAATAACCATATCCTTTCAGATGAGGATGGATTTAATAATCGCTGCCTTCGTGAACGAAAGGTTACAACAAGAAATGGTTCTGCAAATTATTGTAAAAAACATTTGTACAGTTCTGTGCTGTTTTGTATGAATAAAGGCTACTTAAAACCCCCCAAAACATTGCATTTCTTTACTATAAGATCATCTATTCTTATTTGTGAAAATGGTATTTGATTGAATCCTGTCAGAAGTGGAACAATAAGATTGTAAGATCACCTATTCTCTGTTTCCAACCTGTTTGCTTCAATGTGCATGTTCCGACGCACATGTTGAGCCGAGAATCAATGGTGGTGGGATAATGTGGTTAATATGTTTCTTTGGTTTTCTAAGGAAATGTGAAACGGTAGTTACTGGAAACAAGATATAGCTAGCTGCATAACCACAGCTCAAGCGTGTGATAAGTTGGTTATTCAAAGCTGCTGGATGATGAATTTTTGTCATGATCCGTTTTCGTCTCTATTTGTGGGTTCGGCTCTTGCCATCAAATTCAAGAATATGACAGCGATGGGCAGACAGGACGATTCCATAATGGTAGCTTATGGTTCTTGCATTTGTAGAATTGTAGGCCTATAGCAAAACAAGCTCTTCATACTTTTGTTTATGTGTGCTTTTTACCTTGAAACAATCAAATTAAATGAAATCAGGGTTGGAGTGTTTAATTTGTTTTTAACATATATTTTCCCAGGAAATGAACATGGTTATCCAGAGAAGTAGTAAATACAGTAGATGTAGGTTTCCACGTTATTATCATGTTAATACCATTTATTCTGTGCTTTAATGTAAAGTGCTACCAAAATGTCTTATTCATTGCTTTCTTTTCTTTACACTTTATTATTCCACACAAAGTGAGTCCGTGCAACTTATTATGTGACTTGTTATGCACATTTTTACTCCTGAACTTATTTAGGCTTGCCATAACAAAGGGGTTAAATACTTATTGACTCTAGACATTTCAGCTTTTCATTTTAAAGTAATTTCTACAAACTTTGACATAATGGGTTATTGTGTGTAAGCCAGTTACACAAAATCTCAATTTAATCCATTTTAAATTCAGGCTATAACACAACAAAGTGTGGAAAAAGTCAAGTGGTGTGAATACTTTCTGAAGGCACTGTATATATCTATCTATGGCACTTCTTGAAACCTTTCATCATCCTCATTACTTATATTAAATGCCTCCCTCAAGTGTCACTAAATGTACAGTGGGGTCCGAAATTATTGACACCCTTGATAAAGGTGAGCAATAATGACTGTATAAAATAAATAATTCAAATGATGAGCTATATTGTATGCTCAAAGAAATCGGGAAATTATATTCAATTGCTCAGAAAAATATTAAGTAACTATTTTTCTTAAAAAGGTAGAGTTGAAAATGACTGACACCCCTAAATATTCTTATAAATAAAGCAGTCAATAGTGTTGTATTTGGTCGCATATTCCTAGCACGCAATGACTACATCAAGCCTGTGACTCTATTTTGTGCCCAATCTAAATTAATGGTAATTGTGAATAATTATGAGTGAGAAAGTGACACACAAATATCATACCCCCAAGACATGCTAACCTCTCACCATTACAAAACAAGGGAGGTTAGCATTTCTATTCACGATTAATTCAGGATTATCGATAATCATGGTAGCATCCACATTAATGTAGAAGTGTTTAGAAACATATTCTATTCTTATTTACAAGAAAAGTTACTCCAAAATGACACAATACATTATTTACCATTAATTCCTATTGGGCACAAAATAATCTGAAATACAACCAAAACAAACAGCAAATGCATCCAATACATTTGTAGAGTCACAAGCTTGATGTAGTAATTGCGTGCTATGAATATGGGACCAAATACTTAACTTCATACTATTTCAATACACATATAAGTGAATTTGTCCCAATTATTTTGGTCCTATACTTTAACCTCATAGTAATTGTTTTATTTCAAATCCAAACTTTTGCAGTATAGAGCCAAAATAAGAAGAAATGCTACTGGGCTGAATAGGTGGGAAATCTGTCGATGTGCCCTTGAATAAGGCACTTAACCCTAATTGCTCTTGCATGTCGCTCTGGATAAGAGTGTCTGCAAAATGTAGATGTAATTTAAAAAGAAATATAGGCTACAACAGTAGGTCAGCTAGATCAAGTCTGTTTGAGTGTTTGTTGAAGCCTCCAGCAGATGGGCAGCTGCGGTCATGAGAGGATCTGGAAGCTCATAGCTAGATGATCAGCGGAGGTGGTGGTCAGGTCAGCATGTCCAAGGGCAGACAGGCAGCTTGATGTCATGCGAGCCTCTCCACCGTCTTCTCTGTATTGGGACTCTGTGATGAAGTTTGACTTCAGAAGTAGCTTATCTTCCTGAGCAATGAAAAAGCTGGCCAGCTATGCATACACAGTCTTGGATCACTCTTAGTGAAAAACAACCCAAAGTCAGTAACTTTAGGTAGGTGTAATTTAAATGGAAACACACTCCGGCTAGCTAGAATTAGCTTGTTGACAATGCTGATTTTCATAAATTTACGGGCAGGAATCCAATTCATGATATCAAGACTGCACTAATTTAGCTATTGACAAATACAACTTTTGTACAAATATTTACATACAAAATATTAAATACAGAATTTAATACAGAAATAAGACAGCTAGATAGGCTACACCTACTTCAAACCCTAGCTAAGTAGCCTAATACAACATTGCTATAGCGTACACAATTGCCTACCACAGATTAATTTACCACCTCACGACATTTTCCTTTCTTTCTGTGCCACCAAATGTTTGCATACTACTGGTAAAGTGAACAGGTTTAGCTAATACTGTAACATTATGGAACAATGTTGTTTAAATTAAACACATGGTTAGCGGGGAGAGACTATACGGACACCCCTGGCCTGCAAAACGATGATTTATGTCACGCAGCTGAGTGCCAAGTGAACCGAATCACACAGGGTTGTGACAGCTAAGGAGTGTCTGTGGTTTTGCATTGCTGTGTGCTCTATTTTATGCACCTGTCAGCAACGGGAGTGGCTGAAATAGCCGAATCCACTCACTTGAAGGGGTGTCCACATAGTTCTGTGTGTATATATAGTGCACTTGTGAACAAGTCAAGGTACCTACCCAGCAGCTGATACAAATATTATTCCACTTCACAGCCGCTTCAAGAAGATATTTAGCCTACACTCTTCTTGGAGTATCCTTTAGGGGTTCTTCAAATTGAAACTGTGGGGGAACCCCTATACGTTTTTCGAGGAACCCTTTAAAAGGGTTATTCAAAGAACCCCTTTCAATGCATCCTCAATAACCTTTTGAATAACCTTTTGGGGTTAATTTTTGAACTACCCTCCCCTATTATTATTATTATTAATAATAATAATAATAATATGCATAACAATAACAACAATAACACCATATTTTAGTTGTCAGTGTTTATTATGATTTTAGTGGCAAAGCAGAATAAAAAAATCTAAAGGTAAACTCCCAGCAGAGCCCAAGTCCAATTGGTATATCCTCTGGCGTGTTGATGTTAATGTGTTGATGTTCTCCATATCCATAGCCAGAATGATTTTGCAGTGCATGGTGATCAAACAGGTTTCCTGTTATACTCATCAGATGTGTAGGGAGGGTGAAGTCTGTGAAACCCAAAACAAAAACATGCACATGACAGTATTCATACCTTAGTTTATATGGTAAATGTGAATGAAAGAAACTGTTTTGATAATGGTTTTCATACATATACCTTGTCCATAATGTAGAGGCCTATGGGATATTCACTGAAGAGGTAAGGGAGGTGGATGGTAAATGTGATCTGCATGACATACCAATACCAATTGACATACCTTTGTATGCCTCCTCATCTGTATACCTGCAGATTTATCAAATGTTTCTATGAGTGAAATCATAATTTTTTAATTAATGTTTTTACATTGATACAATGTTTTTTATTTTTTTTACGTTGACATGGTTTGTATGAAGAGTGACATTTTCCTTGTGTAACACAGCCTATGTATTTTCCTTGCTTAACAAAGCCCATATAGTGTGCAAAGTTTCTCAAAATAACCATATCCTTTCAGATGGGGATGGGTTTAATAATCACTGCCTTTCTGAAAGAAACATTACAACAAACATGGTTCTGCAAAGTAGCCTATGTATGAGGAAACTCACCATAATAGAAAATAAAG